TGCTCCCAGGGGCAGCACACAGCCGTCCCTTAGGGGCCGTCTATATGGCCCCACAGTTAGTCTCAAAGATGCTAGAAGATTCCATTGCATGGTAATGACTATTGGATAATTCAGGTTCTTTGTTTTCCTTTCTGATTGTTGTTCATCTTTAAAGTGGTCTTGGGCCAGAGAGCCTAAAAAGAGAGGATTGCTCACTTAAATGCCATTCAAACAGAGGACTGCTCTCTGTAGAATATAACTTGTGGTCACCCTAGTTGAGAAAAAGAAATATCTTGGATATTTTCTCTTAAAATAGTTTTTGAGAATGTTTACCTCCACTCTCTTATTTAAAAACATCAACTGCAAGTCCAGCCAAAGCTTATGAGCATGTAAGCAAAAGAAACAAAAATTGTGGGGCATCTAATGGAATTCACAGAAGAAACAAGAGGTACATCCCAAAGCACTCAAAAGAAGGTAGCTGGTTGAAAATCTTGTTACATTTCAGCCTATGTGTGCTCTTGTCCATTAAATGGTTTAGGAATGTCTGGTTCAGAAATGTCTGAAATCTGATTCTAAGTAGTCTCCTGAAAAAGGCCACAAGGGCACACACAGGCTTAAACATATGAGGATTTTCAACCCACTAACTACCATCTTCTGAGCATATTTATGTGTGCCTCTTGTTTCTTCTGTATAAATATATAAGGACAGTCACGGTCAGAAGTAGGGAAACTTGCCAAAACTTAAAGATGGTGCATGTGGTCCTGGATCCTAAAATTGCAAAAATGTCTCCTTTTAAAAGTTTAAAACAATTAGGTGGCTAAAGAAAATTCTCTTTCACATCCACTTGCCTCTCACCTTTCCTCAGCCCTGTATCTAATTATATGCTCGCAGTGTTGCCACTACACCAATTTACAAGGAAAACTTGAGCTATCTGCTCAGGAAAGGAAAAATCAGAGAAAAGGTTAAAATCATTTTGATTTTTTTACCCAGGAAAAGTTTGGCTTGTCTGCATATTCATATTGCCACTGAATGCCACTTACAATGAAATGTGGCCAAATGTGGAAAGTGAAACCATCCTCAAGACCAGAATTCTATGCAGATATAAAGGAAGATGCTGTTACCACACCACTGGACACTCTATATTATCTATGTATTCATTTAGCTAGTCGTCCATTCTTTAAACTATTTCTATACTTGTTTACTGTAAAGTCAACTTGATTTTATGGCAGCCCTATGAATGAGAGACCTCTAAGCCATCCTATCAACAACAGCCCTGCAAAGGTCTTGCAGACTCAGAGCTGCGGCTTCCTTGATTCAGTCTATTCTATTATTCACTACCTTTTATCTAAAACAGATGTAGGAATTTTATACTCTTCAGGTTATGGTTTGAATTTTGATTGTTAGCCTGTAGCATAGACCCACTGAATCAATTGTAGTGGAGTCTCCTTCCTTGGAGGTCTTTAAGCAGAGGCTGGATGGCCATCTGTCAGGGATGCTTTGATTGGGAGTTCCTGCATGGCAGGGGGTTGGACTGGATGGCCCTTGTGGTCTCTTCCAACTCTATGATTCTATGATTCTATGAATTCTTGAATGGTAAGTGAACACATTGGTAAGTCCCATTGATTCATTTGGTTTACTGTGCTTGGAACTAGCAAGAGAATTCAGGCCTGTATATGGTCTGTTGTTGTTGTTGTTGTTGTTGTTGTATGCCTTCAAGTCATTTCAATATTTGGCAGCCTTAAGGTGAACCTATCAAGGGGTTTTCTAGATCTGGGAGTATGTGACTCATGCAAGGTCACCCAATAGGTTTCTATGGGCAAGCAGGGAATTGAACCCTGATCTCCAGAGGATAGTCCAATGCTCAAACCACTTCACCAGTGGTCGGCAAACTACGGGCCATGGGCCGAACCAGGCCCGTCGAGGCCTTGTAACCGGCCCGTGGCTGGTTCTGCCACTGTTGCCGCTGCGCGTGTGCCACCACTGCCACCGCCATTCACGTGCGACACGGGGCACCATTTTGTGTTCCAAAATGGCACCCATGCTCGCGCATGCATGCACACGATGGCGGGTGCCATTTTGGAACACAAAA